CACGGAGGCAGGTTTACATACACCCAGACCGACCCTGACAGATGTTTGTTCAACCTGTTCTTAAAAATCTCCAAGGACGGGGATTCCACACATGGCAAACGAGGTACAACATGGCTACCATGCATGTGGAACAAACGTCTATAAGCTTCAATGCCCCTAAAATGTCCTAGAAAGGCACAAGATCAGTTGTGTGTGGTTGGCCTGCAGAAGTGGAGACGGCGTGGTCAGGAGCAATGTGGGAGGAGCCATCTAAACAGAGCCGGGGTCTGCTCTGCTGGGAAAACAGCAAAGATCACCACAAGTTGCTGCCCTGAGCAGCACTGTCATCATCTACACTCCTGGGAGGCTTTCAGTTACTACAGCGATGGTCTCCAATATAGGAACCTAGGCAGAGGTGTGATGGGAGGACCTCATAAACAGCGTAAAAGAAGAATCAATGAGCCAAGGGCAGTAAAGAAATGGAGACCGCCAAGATGGCATACCATGGGGGTTCCACCACATGCCATCCGTCTGAGTTGCTCAGGAGATGTGGGGTTAATACTGCTGCATGGCTGACTCTCAGCAGGAATGGTGGTGGGGGGCATTGTTACATGAGACTTCTGCTGTTTTCCTCCTATTCTTTTATCCTCCAGGTTGTTTTTAAACCTATGTGCACTGATCTGACACCTTACTTAGGGCATGCTTTCTCAAGGCCATGCTGTAGAGCATGTCTCTTTATAACTGCCTACTGTGCCCAGATGACCTGACTTTATAAACTTGTGAAGCAGGTCCCCATTTTAAATGAGAAAAAAAACAGAGCGCGCATCTGCTTCCCTATTTGATGTAGCTCCACTGGGCAGCTTAAGGAATGTGAAAAGCTGGCTTCCTGGTAGATCAAATTTAGTGCATAATTTTGCAAGAGATCATTTATACATAGATCACTTATTCTATTACTGCCTTTCTGTGCCCAAGAGGGCCCAAAAGAAATAGATTTCTTGTCCATTTGAACAAACTGATTATACCATAATGAAGCATTCTTGGAATATGCCATTTTAATTGTGGAATTATGATCCATGAGAGAGCACTTGCCAGGTACCATTAATCACTAGACTGGTTGTGGTATTCCCCAGGAGAGACACTGAAGCTCAGTTACATAAGAGGGGATATATAATGGTACAGTAAATTCTAATTTAAGCCATTGAGTTTTCCGGTAACTCTTTGTCTTGTAGGGTCTGGTTAACACCTGCCTTAGGGTAAAAGAGAGAAGATGCAGATGGAAGATGGAAATGTGTGTTTTACATGGTTACCATGGAGGGCAAGGTTCTTACTGCAAGGAAAGATGTGATCAGCACTCCTAGTCTAATTTCAGCTTTGATACTGACTCACTTGGTGACCTTGGACAAGTCACTTCACCTCTTTGTGCCTCCGTTTCCATGTCTAGAAAATGTGACTAGTAATTCTTGCCGACCTCCCACAGAGCATGGTAAGAATAGTCAATGTTTGCAAAGTGCTTTGAAGTTGTACGTGCTAAATCTTGTTAATGCAAACAGCGAGAGGAGTTATTTGTCATTAAACGCTGAGAAATTTATTTTGGGTTTTAAATTTTTTAAAAAGTCACTTGCAGCTAGAGAGGCTGGATTCTATACATACAGCCCAGACAGCGGCTGGATTCTACTCCTGGAGTAACATACATGTCGGGGGGGGGGGGGAGGGGGGAGGAGAGGGCAGAATCTGACCCTTATGTCTTTTAAAGTTGGAGATAGAGAGCATGAACAATTTCATTGTTTGGATTCTGGCCCATTAGGAGAAGTTAATAGGGGACCTATGATTTGCCTCATGGATTTTGTTAAAGTTATATTTTACATCATCTTTATATTGTATCTGCCCAAATATGGGGGCCTCATTCTGTCCCATTTAAATCAATGGGAATTTCACCATGGTTTGGTGGAGGCAGAATTGGGTCCTGGGTTTCTAGCTTAAAGGGAGCAGGACTAACACAAAATAAGTGTTAAGGAAGTACCAGAGGGTCCAATTCTCTGTTGGCAGAACAGAGCATGTGGCCCATGGACATCTGTAGTGGTGGAATGTCTGTTGGAATCAGAGCAATGAGGCACTGAATCTGACTGATCAATATGTTGTCTGCAGAGAGGAATACAGAGAGCTAAAGCCTTTTTTGTGATCATTATATTAAATTGAAAATACCCCTTTAGTGCAAACTAGTCCTGTCACTATGTTTTATCAGCTCCTTATCGTTTATATCAGTGCCATTTATCTAACTAGTAGCCACTGGCAATTAGAAATGGATGATGGTAACAAAGGAATCCCCAACTTCTTTTGCCATTCATTTTAATAGAATGCCTTTAGAATTTACCTATGTTCTCGATATTCCACAGATCATTAAGTACTGCCCTGCCAGATGTCACGTGTCACTTTGACAGAGTTTGCAGTTGCATTACCTCTGTGTTAAGTTTTGTGAGCACTTTGAGGATTCAGAAGAAACTTCTGAGGGCCATTAAGGACATAGACAGTATCAAAATTAAAAGGAGTGAGAGAAACTAGATGAGGTCTCAGACACCAGGTTTCAAACCTAAGGATTTATATGCACACCAAAAACCATAAAAAGTCAAATCTCTGTGAGAAATAAATGGGTGAAATCCACTGATTTCACTAGCTTGTTTGGCTTAAAAACTGATAAGATCTTGGTTTAAACTCAGCTCATATTCAGCCATGAGCTTCAAAAAAGGTAAGAACTTCTGGATTTGGCCAAGAACAACAAAATGTACATTGACAGTGTTTGAAGCTGGGGAGATACAGCCCTTCTAGGGCTTTGCCTTTCGGAAATTTCTCTGTAAGCCAGAGAGAAGGCATTGCCTGCATGAAAAGGTGAGCAGGGAAGAGTATGAATTGCACCAAAGACACGGAAATTCCCCCCCGGCTGCCCATTTCAGTTTGAATGTGGCATTTGGGGAATGAGAGAAAACTCCCGGGACTATTTCTTTAATTAGCCTGTCTAAATAAAACCTTTGGTTAACCTAAGCCGAAAGAGTATTCAGTTCCTCTGGCCTTAGAGTGAGTATTAGGAAAGAAGTGATGTTGGCTGCACTATGTTATTGTACGAGTCTCCGTGTCCTGTGTTTAGTGTATACACGTCTGTGCCTTGCAAGACCGGTGGCGGTCGCTCCTGGGACTGCTTTCAAAATGCAGCGCAAGGTAAGATACTTGCCCCATGACTTTTGTGGAAATCGTCATGTAAGTGATCACCAATGCGAGTAGTGAGTTCACAGTCCGGTCCCAGGCTGTCACTGGGTATGTACCTGCTCCGTCGCACCCCCCTGCTAGCCCCGTGTGGAATTGTAGACGCTCTCTGCCTCAGTTTCCCCTAATATCATCAGCAAATTAAACAAGGCTTTAGGCCCTGTCCGAGGGGTCTTGTCTATTAACTAAAGACCCAGTGAAAATAGAAGTAAACCCTTACCCCACTGTTTTAGCTGGGAGACCGAGTCAGTCTTAGTTTATCCATTCCCCCGGGTTCACCGCACCCCTCCAGCAGGGTTCTCCCGGTTCAGGTCTCAGACCTCTTGCCACTACTTGGGAAGAATCCTTGCCCGGAGCCAGGCGTCTGCAGTGATCTGTCAGCTGCAGCTCTTCTGTGGGGCAGCAGGTAGCTCCTGACAGGTTGGGCTTCCTTCGGGGGTTTCCGTCCATAGGAGCATCCTTCTCGCTGACTCTGGGGAGCTCTTCTGCCCAGCTTCTCCTCAGAAGCTTCCTGTCTCTATGATCCCCCTTCTGGGCCAACCCTTTAGCAAGCTCATTAGTGCCAGTCAACCAACCACCTAGGGATTTAGTTACTTCCAGGTGAGTTGGAGTCGATTCCTTCTCCCTTACAGGGACTTGTCCTTGGTGGGCTGGTCCCTGACTCCCCTTCAAAAGCTAGCCCCTGTGACGCAGACAGAATCCAGTGCTAATTTATGCTATGCATAACACATTGATTTAGATGGGGGCTAAACTCTCCCCCTTGCAGCTCCCATCCCTATCTTACAGTCAAAGCCTAACACGCAGACAATAAGGGGCTGATTCTCAGTTCCCTTTGCACCCTCTGGCATTATCAAGGCTCCATATTGAGCAAGGCCGTTAAATGTTACCCAGTTATCATTCTATTGAGCCCAATAACTTGGGTTTGACCAAAGCACAACTTGCATTTGGCTAACGCATCTCTTCCAGAAAGCCATCCAGACTTGATCTGAAGAGTTCAAGAAATGGATAATCCACCACTTTCCGTATTAATTTGCTCCAGTGACTAAATCGCCCTCACTGTTAAAAATTTGCGCCTCATTTCTAATCTGAATTGAACTGGTTTCAGCTTCCAGCCAGAGAGACCTGTTCTGCCTTTCTCTGCTAGATTAAAAAGCCTTTTAATACCTGGTATTTTCTCCCTTGGACAGTCCATATACACTGTGATCTTCTCTTTGATCATCTAAACAGACTGAGCTCTAAATTTCTTACTAGAAAGGCATTTTCTCCTTCCCTTGAATCATTGGAGGCTCTTTTCTGCCTCCTCTCCAAATTTTTCAACATCCTGCTTTAAAATTCCAGTATCTGTCTCACCAACGCTGTATCCAGAGGTGAAATCATCTCCCTACTGCCCTGTTTATACATCCAAGGATCACATTCATCCTTTCTGCCCACAGCATCATGCTGGGAGTTCGGGTTTAGTTGCTTGTTCACTATGACCCCAAATCCTTTACAGTCACTGCTTTCCAGGCTACAGCCCCCCATTATGTAGGAATCAGCTACATTCCTTGTTCCTGAGGCATAACTCCACATTTGGCTGTATTAGAAGACATTTTGTTTGAATGGGCCCTGGTTACCAAGTGATCCAGATTGCCCTGTCCTCCTCGCCTCATTTGCCAAATGTAATCAGCAGAGGTTTGATATTTAGTATGGATCATTTATGGAAACGTTGAATAGCATTAGGCCTAGTACCAACCCCGGGGGAACCTCGCATCCCCAATCAATGATGATTTGCTGTTAACAACTACTTTCTGAGATCTGTCGGTTAACCAGTTCTTAATCTATTGAGTGTGTGGTCTATTGATAATGAATAATGCAGATTTTATATTGAGCCTCAAAACGGTCATGTCACTGCACCCTGGCATTTGACATTGCTTCTCTACCTCAGGCTCGAAGCTGAAAGCAGGGGGGAGAATAAAAATAGAAGAGAACAGAACAAGAATGTCTGGCATCATCATACAGGCAATACAACATTATGGAGCATATTTAGAAAGGACCAAATCCACCATAATGACAGGCCACAGCTTGTCACAAACGATCACATCAAAACAGCAGATCCTAATAAAAGCTCAGCATGTGGGAGAGACGCGTTTATTAGAATGTGACTTCAGCATTGTACGTGCTCACCCATACACCAGGAAGGGTGTATCTACAGGGCAGGCAGCTGCCTGGAGCAGCAAAATATTCGGGGCAGCGAAACATTCAGTAGCTCTGTGGGTTGGTAGAGACAGACATTTGCAGGTTTGCCTAGGGCAGCAGGACCCAGAGAGCTGGCTCTGAACGTAGTATGTGATTCACTCTCCTGTGACCTAGTAAGGGACGCAGAAAATGTGTCACAATATGATGACCACAAAGGGAGGCATGTATTCATGGAAATAGAAAGAAAACCTGATTCTCTTCTCTGTTGCAGTGGTGTGAATTCGGAATAACTCTACTGCAGCGAGTTACACAAGTGCTTCATTTGTGTGAGAGCAGAGTGAGGTCATAATAGGTCTTTCCCAAGAAACATGCAGGTGAAGAATGACATACCTAACTATTAAGACACAAGAGAGTGAGCATTCTCTTGTGGAACAATAATACACTCAGGCATCGTGCCAGAAGGATTGAACCTAGATGCTTTATAGCTAGAGACGTTTCAGTGACACTTCCAATTTCAGCAGAACCTTGTTCATTCTCATTTTGTTCAGCTGATCATTCCAAAACGCCTAGCAGTCTCACTTTGCGTAAATCCCAGTTTGCAGCCCTTATTCATGAGCACAGTCCAGTGAAGGTTGCAGAATCGAGCTCTCAATATTGAGCAGGAAGGGTTCTAGCGAGGTTTCGTGTGAGACTGTCTTCCCTGACGAAGTCTATTGCAGTCTATTTAGAGCTACGTTTTCAAAAAGGACAAGCGATTTTGGGTTCCCAGTGGGAGGCACCATAAAGGGAACGGATGGTCAGAAGAGCCGAGCACCCAGTCTCTGAAAATCAAGTCCCCTGCAGGTGTCAAGTTGGACACTCAAAATCACAAGTCATTTTTGAAAAGGTAGGAAGTTATGTGAGTAATTGCACTGCTGGGAATACTCTGAAGTTATCGCCCTAATTAAAACTAACCTACCCTTGTCCCAATCAATAAACTCTATGCATTTTGTATCCTCCCTTTCCTTTATTCATATTTTTCTTATCGTATTGGTTTGCTGTCTTGCTCATTTGCAAAATCCAATGAGCATCTCCCAGTCATTTTTGTGAATCCGTGAAGGCTAAACTTAGTAACAGCCAAGGAGGCAGAGGGTTTTTTTCCCCCCTTCCTTATTAACAGGAAGCAGCAAATTGATTGTCAAATGCTGCGTCTGAACAACTCATCAAAATAAAACGCTCACATGCTTGGCAAATACTCTCATCTGACTGGCTATCAGCAGCGAGCTAATCGTTTATTATTATAGCTCTCCAGAGTTGGATGATTATATGTAGCTTTAGGATTTAATAGACAGCCATGTCTCTATGTTGTAAGCATTGCCTGAAACACTGTGTTTGATGCATTATATCCCTAGTGACAGCTGAGAACTAAACAGCTGTGTTGTACCCCTTGGATATTGGAAATCACAAAGCACAGGACGTTGTTAACCCTTTAGCTATATGAAAGGAAGGTAGGGAACCGGTTCATGTAGAAGGCATCAGTATCTGTATAAATCGTACATGCTTTTCCCCTGTAACTACTGGATAGTGTATACAACTCACTTGCCATTGCATTTAATCAACCCTATTGACTTCCCTATGGGATTTCTATTATCTTTTGATTTAAAAAGAAAATCCTGTGAATGCATTGTATTTGAAAGACATCAGACTGGCAGCTCTGGAGACTGAAGTCTGTTCATCTGTGGAGCAGATACTGCACAAGAAGCAAAGAGGAAGCTTCCCCCACCATCACCTCTCAATCCAGATTTGGAGGGACCCCAACAGTCAATGTCTCAGCTGGGTTTGTTAGTTTGGACTGGGCACATAAGTCACATGCTATATTCTCTGTTCCCTGATTGGATGAACACAACCCTTAGTCATGTTTCTGGTGACATTCTTGTGATTATGAGTTCAACATTTGCTTTTCTGAGAATATGCTCTAAGGCCTGCTTAAAATTTGCTATTTCTGCAAGTGCTCCTGCCAATAAACAAGGGTACTGGAATCATTTTGGAAAGCTACACAAAGGGACTGTGGACACACGCAAAGCAACTTCACAACATGTCGCAGCAGAACACTTTGGGAGGTGTTCTCCACCCCATAGTCAAGCGCCACAGGATGAATAGATAAATCACTGGATTAAAAAGCAGAAAATGGAAGTAAAATATTGAAGGATAAGGCTCTGTAAGTAAAATCCCTAACCATTTTGTTCAACTGTTCTAGTTTACGAGACAAAGCCCCCCAAAGCCTGCCTGAAGCATTAGCAAGATCATGTTCTACTCTTTGAGATACGCCAGAAGCCTCGACAACTCACAGCTAGTACCCCACAAAAGCACCGACCGACTCGATCTCCCCGGCACAGAATTTAGAGTGAGAAGCAACTCACAATCCAATTCTCTCCCAACTCCATTGGATTAGCCCTGAAGACGTTGGCTGTATCTGACCCCAGCATCTCCCATACAGAAAAGACAGCTGGACTTTTTAATGGAGCGTGGTCTGCTTAAACCCCAGGCTCTATTGTTTGTGCTCACACTTGCTTGTGAAGCGGGCAGTGGCAGTGCAGGCCACCCCAGCAGAGAGCCTCATTGTTAGGGTATGGAAAGGGAGCTTAGCGCACCATTGAGAAGGGAGTCTAGAAAGGATGAGCCAAAGATGAAAGTCCTAGCCCAGGTGGTGGGAGACCCAGGTTCGATTCTTGTTTTGATCCTGGGCAAGTCGGTCCCTCATCTATAAAATGGGGGTATTAGCACTTTTCTACCTCCCTGGGGTGTTGTGAGGATACATACAGTAAAGGTTATGAGGCGCCCAGATACTAAAGCAATAGGGGGCCACATGAGTACCTTAGACAGAACCCTGAAGAACCAATATTGGGACACATAGCAGTAACGAGGATCCATTGCTATTTGCAGTGTGTGGAGAGAACAAAAAAGTTGATAAGCAACTGGCATCAGCGCGTGATTATAAAGCACTCGCTGACCCTTTTTACCAGCCCTTCCAGTCCCCGGAGCTCAGATTCTCAGGCTATTTGACTCCAGTTAGCCTAGAGGGAGTGAGAATCTAACTGTCAAACGATAGGGATTGGCTTGAAAACCAGTCACAGCAGCAGAGAGAAATAAATCTGAGGAGCAGCAAGATGAGAGCAGTGGCATGGTGTCATATCAGCATCGCCGGTTCCGCAAGACACTGGGGTCAGTTGACAAGCTTGCTAATGCAGAGTGCAAGATTAATTGGCTTTGGTCAGCCCGGGCTTCACTATCTGAATATCTTATCAGTAACGTAAATGATTATGCTATGCAGAGAAATACCACAATAGTCTCCGTGTCTCCTTTTATACTCGTCTCTTTTTAAACAAGCCTTTATCTAAATGCAAATGTGATTTCAGCTTTCTGATTAGGACATTATACAGTCATCCATTGCAGAAAAGCACAATTAGTGGATTATTTTATTTCTGACTCAACAGTTCTTTGTTTAGAAAGTTCGTTTGTGGGGCTGTGCGTGATACTTAAGTGATCAGAAGCAGATTTGCATTATGAGAACGAGGATTGCAGCCAAATTTTCCAAGGGGTTTTTAGCAAAAGAAAAAAAATAATCCGAGCAGATAAAAATGGAAACATTTGTGGGATCATAGAATATCAGGGTTGGAAGGGACCTCAAGAGATCGTCTAGTCTAACCCCCTGCTCAAAGCAGGACCAATCCCCAGACAGATTTTTTTACCCCAGTTCCCTAAATGGCCCCTTCAAGGATTGAACTCACAACCCTCAGTTTAGCAGGCCAATGCTCAAACCACAGAGCCATCCCTTGATTTTTAGAGGAGATTTTTTTTAAGAACAAAAAGCAGCAACTCCAATTTTTACGATGCTTCATTGTCCTTATACTGCAAATGTAGGGGAAAATTCTCAGTTACACCAGTGTAACTCCATTGACGTAATGGGGTAACTGAATGAAGAATTTAGCCCTAAGACATTTTAGGGGCTACTTATTTAGGCAAGTTGAGGAATCATATTACAAGGAATGGGAGACGTCCAGAAGGTTTTGACCCAATACCGAACTGTAACTAAAGTCACTGGAGGTTTTGCATGGCCTCTGGCAGATTACCAGAACCCGGAGGAGTGGGCTGGAGCCACTTGCCTTGGGGAGTTATGGCACAATGTGAGAGGATTTCAGGCTACTTGCCTCTGGCAGCCTGTGGCAGGGGCAGGAGGCTTTTCACTAGAGGGAATGCAGAAGACTTGGGTGAGGCAGCAGGGAGGAAAGTGCAGGGAGAGGGCGAATGGCTTAAGACTCTTGTCCCTGGTGAGAGGAGGCGGCTGAGAAAGGCTATCAGGACATGCAATCCGTTATCGCTTTCTCCTCCACGCTGGGGATGGGGCCCCTATCCAAAGCCCACTGAAGTCAATGCAAGTCTTTGGCTTCAATGGGGTATGAGTCAGGCCTCTGGAGACCAGAGACCAGTAAATCTGCCTTCTCCAGCCCCAACATCATCCCCTGGGTAGCAAAAGCCAGCTTTCCTCCTCACCGCACTATCCCTTTCCATCTTCTTTTCCTTGGGGCTCTTTTGTTATTGTTTGTCCTTCCAGGGTTAAATTAAAGGCAGGCTTGAGGGCAAGGTTTTTTATTCTGAAAAATGAAAGTATTTTAACAATTTGTTTCACCTTGGCCCAGGCCACTTACTGCCACCAGGGCCGGATTTAGGGGCACGCAACCCAGGCGACCGCCTGGGGTGCCAGGCTTGGGGGGCGCCATTTGGTCTAAGTCACAAGCCTCTATGTACAGCATTTTAAAAATACTCCATAGCAAGGGGGTGCGACGGTGACTGGAGGAAGGGATTTATTGGGACGTGTTCCACACCCGAACAGTGCAAGGAACAGAGGCAGAAGCATGCAAAATAAGGTATTCGAAAGTTTCACAAATGGGGGTGTGGGGGGAGTGGGGCGCCGAAGACGCTCCTCGCCTGGGGCACCATTTGGTTTAGGGCCAGCTTTGACTGCCACTCAGGAGTAATAATAATACTAGCTCTACTTCATGTGAGCACTAGGACACGTCCAACCTGTCCCCATCCTGGTAGCCAGAGGTGGTTTGAATGGTTCAAGGGATCAGTGGTAAAATCCCTGAGTCAAAATTTACAGCTTCTCTGCTGTATCTCTGAAAATAGAGGGTGGTAGAGGGGAGACCCTACCGATACAAAGGAGCACCCCTATTCCACCATAGGCATGAGATGGTTCTCAGCTCTGGCCATGTAGGTAATGCCAGAATTCTGCTCTGTGGTTATCACGCACTCATCGCTATTAACCAACAGCTGACCCTGCCTGTTTAGAAAGCAAAGAATAGTGATTAGCGGGGTTTGCTTTCATGACTAACACACAGCCTTTGACACATCAGCAGAGGTGAGGAATTACACTTGATGCCACTGAGTCTATGGCTGGCGGAGCCAATAACTGTTTGGCTTCCTTGTACTGTCATGGTTCATAAGAGTTCATAAATAACTTTGGTTTGATTAATATCTGCAGACTGCAGTTGCTTGCTATTTGAAATAATTCAGTTCGCTGGGGTTTCCTCTGGTTTTATAGGCTGAGAGCTTCCAGATTGTTGCACTCCTCTTTTAACATAGGAAAAATGTAAGTGTTGGAAGTTGGGGTGAGGAGTAGGGTTAACTCACACTTGGTGAATATGGCTCTTTGTCCCCCTCTAGTGGCTAGATCACATAGTGGTTTATGAGTCTGCTACTGGCTCTGGATGTTCAGGCGGTAGAGGTGCATGGTTTTAGACAGAGGGGTTCTTGCTGCCGACAACTCAACAAGGGATGTTGTGTTACATTCGAATGCAGGGGGGTTTACATTGGTTTGGGCTACTGGGAACACGGGCAGATCTCCAGCTCTGATTTGGTCCTTCTGTGCAAAAAAGCTGTAAAGCTACACTGATCCTGAAATTTCCAGTGATAACGACAGCATGGGGGAAGCCCCAAATGACGTAGAGCTACAAGGCAGACCCTCCTGGATCATGGCAAAAAGCCTGGCTGGAGCTACCTGCAGAGACAGACAGAGCCTTAAGATGATGACACCAGACAGCACAACCTGGGTTTTGGGGAAGAGCTATCAAGCCCACCAAGGGCTAAAGAAATTATGGAGTAAGGGAAAATATCTGGTTTGATTTAAGTTGACATTTGAACAATGGTGTTTTAATAATCCAGATCCCAAGAAGAGGTATTATTTGAGTTACAAAGAGGCTGGGTGCAGTTTTTGAGAATCCCAAGAACGGGAAACTGAGGCAGTGGTAGGGTCCAGCACTGGATTAGGTGTGACCCGTTGCAGCACTCCTCTATAGCCTATGCCCTTTGGTTGCATATTTCATGGTAGGAATTTACAGCACTTCACAGATGTTAATCATCACAATTCCCCCAGGCAATAGGTAAGTAGTATTACCGTCGTTTTACAGGTGGAAAAACGGTGGCACAGAAAGATGAAGTGTTTTTCTCAAAGTCATAGTACCTGTGTAGCAAATTAGGTGGCCCTTGATCAAGCAAATCTCCCATTGATGCCAACGAGAATAAGACTCAATTAAGTACAGGAGAATTTGGCCCCGAGTCAGGAACAGAACCCAGAGGTCTGACTCCAATCCCCTGTGCTAACTATGAGACACCGCTGCTTCCGTAGGGGCGACAAAGGTCTGAAGGCAATTAAAAGGTCTGAATTCTCTCGGATGCACAAATCTTGTGTCATGCGTGGTATGTGTTACCAGGTTACGGTGTGACAACACGCAGGCCAACATCTGTTATTGCTGATTAACTGATCTGTTACGATGGCGTACAACAGCTGCCAGAGGCAGTGAGTAGCCTGGAAAAAGAGCCCCCAAGTTACAGTGCCGCACACAAGCTGCTGATGACGTTACAAAGCCCTGGAAATGAGCTGCCCTGAAAAATGGAGTTTCAAGCCAGCCCAGGGACATTGCAAAATCCCGGCCTTTCGTTATGGCTGGATGGCAGAGGGGACTTGAGACTTTTTTTCCCTTTGCAATATGGGGTCCTGGTATGTAAAAGGCTGAGAACTAGGACGTTCTCCTTTATCTTCTCCCCCCCAGGATCTCTGCAGCAGCATTTTATCTCCATTGACCGCTTGCCTCATTCCATATTCGTCTATTTATGCCATTCTAGTATCCTGCTCTCTCCAGTGGCTGAGTGTCTTTCCGCTGAGGCTGCCCTATGCATTCCCAACACATGAGGGATCTTTGCTTTTGTGACAGGAAATCTATTGCAGCACTTAGGTTTAATTAGAACACAATGACAGCTGATGAGTTTACACATCAGAGCCTAGAAACAACTCAACAAATTGGCCCTACTCCCATAGCGCAGTATGAGTTCTGCCTTGGTCTGCGAGGTTTTATTGCATTTGGTGGGAATATGAAAGATAGAGGGCCAGGTGAGGTCAGTGGAGCTACATAGATGCTCCCCAGCTGAGGATCTGGCCCCAAAAGAGCACATGGCATATGCATTCTCACTCAGAATAAATTCCCCTGAACTTCCATAGATTGAATAAAGACCGTGGGAGCAAACAGACCCTATATGGATTTTTTTACTCTGTCACAGAGCTGAGTGGGAGAGCTGCGTGGGACTAGTTCAAGTTGCAGAGATGACGCTTAGCCTCCGCTCCGATGTGTAACCTCGCACTGTGTGTACAGGAATAAGTCACAATCTCTTATGTGAATGAGACTGCCCACTCCACCATCTTCAACGTGCAAGATTGGTTTTAACCGATAAACTATTAGGGCTCAAGCTCGCAACTCTTCCCCCCAGTAGATGTGACAAGTAGGGTGATCAGATGTCCCGATTTTATAGGGACAGTCCCGATATTTGGGGCTTTTTTTTATATGGGCTCCTATTACCCCCCGTCCCGATTTTTCACACTTGCTGCCTGGTCACCCTAGTGATGAGGGAGTTTCAGCATATCACAGATACAGATTTTTTTATCATCATTTTAAACAAAGGTGAGCCTGAGAGGTAGCATCCGAATCCAGATCAAAATGCGAGGTGGGGAAATCTTATGCTTTGGGCCCATCTTTATTGTTTGCATTTACACACCCACCCACCAGGCAAAGGTCAACGCTTTCCTGTAAAGAGCAAGCGAGGTGTTTGATAGAGGAGGAGGAAGTTAACCAGGGGTTCATCTACGTTCAGTAGGGAAGCACCAATTCATGTATTGTTTTCAAAGCTACATTCCTCTCCCCCTCTCCCCCCAATCATTTGATTTCTTTAGTATTTTAAGAAGCTGCACTAACTGGAAACAGCAAGGCCGGCTCTGGCTTTTTTGCCGCCCCAAGCAAAAAAAAAAAAAAGACCCTGTGGCGTGGCTGGAGCGGCAAAGCAGGAAAAAAAGAAAATCTGTGGGGTGGCCGGAGCCAGGGTGCAGGGGGATTGCAGACGTGCCCCGGCTAGCGGGGGGGGGATGGGGAGGGAGTGGGGGGAGAGAGAGAAGGGGGGCAGCCCGGGCTTCAGCGGG